GGGGGGGGGGATGATCTGTTATTCTCTGTGCAAAGCATTGTAATTTACTTTCCACACAATTTTTATTGTTCACAAAACTGAGCGCAAATTTTGAACAATGCGATATTTCAATGCACCTTATTTGGGTCCAATTTACACTTGTCGACTGGATTGGAATCTTTAATGACTTCCACTTGGTCCTCACCAAACCTTTCACCATAGAAACTCTGAAAGACATTTAGAAAGGGTATGTATGTGTGCTACAAAAAAAAACTTTCAACAGAGAATAAAATCTGAAAAAAATGCACCCATGCAAACGGTCTTGTACCTCAAGCCGATGTGAGATTTCAGCCAGTTTGGTGATGGCTGGCTCTTTGTAGACAAACTCCTGCTCATCCAAGTCACCAAATTTAGAACCGTAAAATCCAACTCTGAAATAGGTGCCAAACATCCGCTTTCCATTCTGAAACAAACAAATGTGTTAATTACCAATGTGCTGTTAATTAAAGCTGCCATTTAAAAACACCAGATAACATGCAAAAATAAATCCTGTTGGTACTCACACTTTACACTTACACTTGATACTTTACACTTTAAAACAGTTACTCAAAGAAAGGTAAAGTGCAATGAGGCAAACCCAACATTTTCTCTTGGCAGCAAGTTATCAAGTGACAGCAGCAATGTAAACATTGTCTGGAACATGTTTACATAAATAACCTGCATTCAACACATTGGCATTTAAATAGTGATGCAATCAAATAACAGTGAAATACAGGAAAACACAGACACTAATACAGTATCATTATTCTAGTACAAACATCTACCATTTGAGGATATTTTACACAACCTCTGAAAAACTTTTTCATTTATTATTATTCCAAACTTCTATATAGACAACCATTCAAAAGTCTGGGGTCAGTTAAGTTTTTCTTTGAAATAAATTAATACATTTATTCAGCAAAGATGCATCAAATTAATCAGAAGGGACAGTAAAGCCACTGTCATATATATTAAAATAGAAAAGAATCCTCTTAAATTGTAGTATTTCAAAATGTTACTTTTTTTACACTATATTTGATTAAATAAATGCAGGCTTTCTGAGCATAAGAGACTTCTTTCAAAAACAACTATTTTACAATGGTGTATATTATTATTATCTGTCATAAGAAGAAATAGCAAAGAGAGTGAGCATCTCCACATCAGACACAAAATCTGAATTCAGTTTGAATTTGAGCCAAGCTTGAGGACAGTGATGCAAGAAGCAGTTCTGAACAAAGTGGGGACTTTCTCTGTAAACTGTATTAGCAAAGAATGACATAACAGGAAGAAGATCTGAGACAACCTGATGTCCTTAAAGAGTGAGTGAACAACTGTACTCCAAAGAAGAGACAAAGAATGGAACACAAGTAGCAAGCTCCCCGTGAGAATGTAAACGTGCTGCTGTAGCCTAATACAGAATGTCAAACTGAAACACTTATGTCAATAGAAATAGAATGTCAGATAGTATTAGCATGTGCTGGAGAAACAGGTTTGGCCATAGTAGCATAGTAAGGGGAAAAAAAAAAAGAGTGGTGGGTATAAGTACAGAGCCGGGAACATGTCTGAGTGCTCTACACACAGGAAGTGAAGCATTAATCAGGTGCAGATACGGGCTGAACCAAAGCAGACCAACCATACAGCCAATGCTAATAATGCTAATGCTAATATGACAATAAAACAAACAGCCTGAATAGACTTTGGTCAGTGTCTTAACAAGACATGATGAAATCATTTCAATGATAATCCTCTAACTTGTGTCATATATCACATGTATTGTAAGCATGTGACACATAAAAAATAATACCATAACTATGTAATTTAGGTCATATTGTAAAGAGCTGTTCAAAAAGGGCGTAAACACAAATTATCAGTAATCCTAAATGGAAAATTAGTTAGTCAGAGCCAGAGTAAGCAAATTCAAATTAGTCAAAACATTGTAGAAATAAACAGTAAGGAGTAAAAGATTGAGGAGTGTAAAACTGTGAATGATGGACGTTTCAAGGAAATCTGCAGAGTTCAGATTGTGTGTGGGCCTGGTTACCAGGTGTCTGAGATGGTTCAGCCCTTCTCTGGTTCATTGTGATGTTTTTTTCAGTCATAAAAGCTACGGAAATAAACCCTCGAACTATGAACTTACCACAAGACACAATAATTAAAGTGGGAAGAGGAGGGGTCAGCAACCAAGGAAATAAAAAAGGAGAGAACAGAACATTTTAATCAGGAAACTCTTTGAAAGACTAACAAAACATGTACACAAAACAAACAGCAATACTACCATAAATCAATACTATACAAAGACAAACAAACACAAAAAGACTAAAACTCAACGACAAACATGCAATAAGGAAGAAGCAGGCAGAGAAAAGTGCACTTAAGTATCTTTATTTAACGGACAGTTAAGAGACAGTGCATTCCTGCTGTAATGCTGCAATAAGTGTCAAATATGAAGGTTTTGTTGAGTCATTGCCATGCAATAAATGAATAAAGTGAAATTAATACTAGTATACAAATTGGTGTAAATGAGAACTCAGGGGTCGATTTAGTTGGCAATGAAATAAAAGCTTGTATAGAGAGGTCACTTGGACGTCACTTTGAATGTTAATGTTTTGAACTGATGATCACACCATGACATCCCTTTAGAGAAAAAACAAGCATAGTTTACAAAGAACCAAGAATTCTGCATATTCTCTAAGAAGCATCTGGCCCTGAGTCTGGCCCTGCTTCAATCGTCAGCTGATTTTCTAAATAGTAACCAAAATTAATAATTCTGTCATTGTTTACTCACACTCAGGTTATTCCAAACCTGTATGATGTTCTTTCGTCCGTGGAACACAAAAGATAGATTTTTGAAGACTATCCTCATTGCAATTTTTTTTTTTTTTTTCAAATAAAAGCCCAATAGTTATTTTTCAGCAACCTTGGCTCTGGAAGTATGCTCACATTAATTATTTCCCCATAGCAATTTAATAGTGATTACCAGCTACGAGGTGAATCACAAAATTTCAAATTTGAATTAAAAAAAAAGTGAAAATCGGGCAAAAAGACAAAAGTAAAATAATCCTAAGAAGGATTGCGAATGACAACCAAATTAAAAATGGAGAAATATCAATTAATTCATTTAAAGTTGTTAATTTAAGAAACGTTTATTGCAAAATATGCACATATATACACATTATGAATATTTAATTATTCTGAGAGCATAGGGAGGCTGATTCCATTGCATCATTCGCATTGCTTCCTTTTTTTTTTTTTTTTTTTTACCAGAAATTCAGCTATTTAAAAAAATGTTAAAAATGTGAACTAATGACTTTAACAAAAGCATATGCCATCCATTAGCAACCTCTGAGCTCACAGTAAGTTATCATTAAAACTCGATTCTCCTATGGAGAAAATCATTGGGATTGTACTTCCAGAACCTGTTGACACTCTATAATGAAAGTAAATGAGGACTGTTGGTGTCAAGCTGTCAAAACACAAAATAAGAAAAAAAAGTGTCATAAAAATGATATAAGTGATAAAAGTGTCATACTGTTATTTTGAGGCTGATCTTTGCAATGACCTAGTTGATCCAGTTCACATAATATACATGACTTATGAATCTGACTCATTCACTTTTCAAGTTAAACTGACTCAACGATCCAGTCATTAATATTCAAAATATCTTCTTATATGATCCATTCCGATTCTGATTACATGATTCCATAGAACAAAGAAAGTCCTACACATTTGGAACAATGTGAGGGTGAGTAAAATATGATCGGACTTTCATTTTTGGACAAACCAGTCCTCCAAGGTTATCCACGTCTCGCATAAATCGAACCCTGTGCTTTTGAGACATGATAAGACGACATAGATGGCAGTACTGATGAAACGGAGTGAGAGAGACGGATGAGGGAGTGAAATGAGGCATTCATGAATAAATCTGTCATTAGTGTAACAGTGGCTCCCATGCATGGTCTGTCAAAAATGACAATGTTAACATCGTTTCTCCTCAAGAAAGAGAAGGGAAAGAGAGGAAGATGACAAGAGGACGAGGGACGCTGCTGCCCACACACCAGACAGCAGTCCCACAGAAAGAGAAATGGAGGGATGGACAAAGAAATGTAAACGTCCATTAAAAGGTTAATGGGTCAAATTCACAGCAAAGAGAGTCATGATAAACGCCCACAGCTTGCACGTATGGGCCAAGCATTAACCATGAAGTTCAGCACCTACCTCCCAGCCTGTGCTCTGTATAACAGAGAGAATACAGCACAAATCAACATACACAGGTCACAATCACCCCCTTCAGAAGCCCAGACTCACTGACTGCAAAACATTACGGGAAACACTTGTTTCGGAAAAATCATTCACTACCATTCAAAAGTTTGGGGGGAGTAAGTTTTTTCTTTTCTTTTTTTTTTATTCAGCAAGGATAATTAAATGGATTAAAAGCGACAGTAACTTTTATAATGTTACAAAAGAATTCTATTTCAAATAAATGCTGTTCTTTTGAACTTTCTATTCACCAAAAAAATGTATCACAGTTTCCACAAAAATATTAAGCACCACAACTATTTTCAGCATTGATAATAAGAATAAGATTCTTGAGCACCAAATCAGCATATTAAAATGCTTACTAAAGAATCATGTGACACTGAAGACTAAAGAATCATGTGACTGCTGAAAATTCAGTTTTGCCATCACAGGAATAAACTACTTTTTTTTTAATATATTAAAATAGAAAACATTTACTTTACATTAGGGCTGTGCAATTAAGCGCATGCGATTGTCATGCGCATCTCATCAGTAAAGCCGGTCCCGTTATTAGTAGTAAATCTCCATCATCTGCGTTCAGATGGAGCGGCATTCACTACACAGAGCCATAGTTCACTGACAATTAGGCAATATCGCGTTCATAATCGCAGATGAATCGCATTCGATTATGAACGCGATATCGCCTAGCTTGTCAGTGAACTTCGGCTCTGTTTATTAAATGCCGCTCCATCTGAAAGCAGGTGACGGCGATTTACTACTAATAACGGGACCGGCTTTACTGGCGAGATGCACATGACAATCGCATGCGATTAATTGCACAGCCCTACTTTACGTTGTAATAATATTCGACAATGTTACTATTTTTGATCAAATTAAATACAGCCTTGGTGAACATAAGAAACTTTCAAAAACATTATTAAAAAATCTTACTGACCCCAAACTTTTGAACTGTGGTGTATTTTTTTAGACTGTATTCGCCATGCACGACTCTTCTTCCCCGTATACTGCATGCAATAATATAAAATAACTATATATTACAATTTTTTAAAGAAAAATAAATAACGTGCTTGCTTGTTGAAAGATGCTAAGGTGTTCTGGGTTGTTGCCAGGAAGTTCCTATACAGTTGCTAAGGTGTTTGTTTCATTTTTTAGCATGTTGCTACACAGTTGCTAGGGCGTCCTGTGTGTCTGCTTGTTAGCCCAGGTCAAAAGGGTCACCCCTATGTCTCTGAGATTCTGGTCACCTCATTCAATGTACGTAAACTTCAAATATGACTGCTCTCAAAAGTTATAACACACTTCTCCTCAATTAGTCACATAATCTCAGGTATCAATCATATCAATAACATAAATGGTGCAAGACTAGTGGTTCAGTGCTACACATGAGAAAGATATAAGGTTCATTCACACCAAAGACTATAACTATAACGTTTTAATAACCAGTCTAATCCAAAAAGAATAGTGGAGTCCACACCACAACTAAAATGATAACGTGACAGAGGAACAATATTGTTGGAATCACTTTCAGAACAATTTTTAGCTGATTTTCTAGCTGATGAA